ACAGGAAACTATTTACCCCCTTGGGAGACAGAAAGATGACTTGAAAAATTTGACAACCGACGTTGACTCTGAGTAGCACAGAGCACAAAAAAGCCACCGTTTTTATTCCCGGGTTTGGAGAATGCAGATCATGAGCAACCCCCTGGAGAAGGTAAGTTTGCCAAAAAAAATATTCCATCTCATGTGAGCCGGTGGAGAGACTCTAGGGGGTGAGCAGTTGACAGCATTCACATTGTATGTTTGAAGGCGTCCAGAATGTCTGGGACCCCCCGCACCCCCATCCCCAGATTCCTAAGGCGTGGGAAGCTCCAGATTGCTCAGGTCCTCGCGGTATGAAAACAAGTCTTCTCAGGACATGTTTACGACTCTTTCCCTCGGAGCGGTTTGCAATGCGAAGGCTTGGAGGCCCGCGATGCAGAAATTAAAAAGTCCTTCTGCTAAAATCTCATATTTCCAGTACGTGAAGCGGAGACCACCCAGGTGTGAAATCCGGGTGGTTTGCTGTGGAACACTGAAAATTCCCTCTTTGACACCGTTTTTGTTTTTTTGTGTTTTTTTTTTTTCGTCTCACCAGCCGGCGTAAGGGAAACAGAACCCCGAGACGCCCAGGCTGGGTCAATAATGCACTAGGAAGTCGCGTGCTCACTCGTTAATAAAATTTTAGTATTCGGGAGGATGTGTCGGCAGGGATCTGGGGTTTGCAGACCGTGAAGAGGTGTGTGAGTGTGTATGTGTGTGACTCGATTTTGCATCTAAAAATTGTGTAATAAAAGCAATTTTGACTTAAGAGCGGCTGCCCCTCAGCCCTGGAAGTTCAGCACGTGTTAAATTTATGTTTTTTCCCCAGCAGGCACGCACAGGTACCGCGTGTAGCCATTAAATATTCATCTTAGGGAATTTTTTTAATTAGGAAAAAAATGAGCATGTCGAAAGCAGGGACGCTAACGAAACATAGACGTTTTTACGACGTATTTCCCCAAAATAACCAGAGGCACCTCAGTAGGCCTGCAAAGGTCTGGGGATTTTTTTTTTTTCTATTAAAAACCTAATGGATGTTCTGTATCACTGAGTGTCCACCAAGGGCAGCAGCCACGGCTCACGGGTCTCCTGGGTGATACGAGGCGGTGAATCATGCTTCCCAAGGACGACGGGACTTTTCATTAAAATGAAGAGCAATCGTCTTTTTGTTTTTAATTTTTATTATTTGGGTGAGGATATGTTCATTGGTTTGAGAGAGGGAGGAAGGGAAGGAGAGAGAGACAGAGAAGAAGGAGGAGAAGGAGGAGGAGGAGGAGGAGGAGGAGGAGGAGGAGAAGGAGAAGAAGAAGAAGAAGAAGAAGAAGAAGAAGAAGAAGAAGAAGAAGAAGAAGGAGAAGAGGAGAGGAGAAAAGGAGGAAGAGAGGAAGAGAAGAAGAAGAAGAAGAAGGAGGAGAGAAGAAGGAGGAAGGAGAGAGGAGAAGAGAGAAAGGAGACAAGAGAGGATGAGAGAGAAGAAAAGTAAAAGAAGAAGAGAAGAAGAACAAAGAAGAAGAAGAAGAAGAAGAAAAGAAGAAGAAGAAAAGAAGAAGAAGAAGAAGAAGAAGAGGAAGAGAGAGAAGAGAGAGGAGAAGAAGAAGAAGAAGAAGAAGAGAAGAAGACGAAGAAAAAGAAGAAGAAGAAGAAGAAGAAAAAAAGAAGAAGAAGGATAAGAAGGAGGAGGAGGAGGAGGAGAGGAGGAAGAGGAGAGAAGAAAGGAAGAAGAAGAGAAGAAGAAGAAGAAGAAGACGAGAAGAAGAAGAAGAAGAAGGAGGAAGAGGGAGGAGGGAGGAGGAGAGGAGAAGAGGCGAAGAGGGAGAGGAGAAGAAGAAGGAAATAAGAGGAGGAGGAGGAGAGGAGGAAGAGGAGGAGAGAAGAAAGAAAAAAGAAGAAGAAGAAGGAGGAAGAGGAGAGGAACGAAGAAGAAGAGAATAGAGGAGAAGAAGAAGAAGAAGAACAAGAAGAAGAAGAACAAGAAGAAGAACGAGGAGGAGGAGGAGAAGGAGGAGGAGGAGAAGGAGAAGGAGAAGAAGAAGAAGAAGAACAAGAAGAAGAAGAACAAGAACAAGAAGAACAAGAAGAAGAACGAGGAGGAGGAGGAGAAAGAGGAGGAGGAGGAGGAGGACAGAAGAAGAAGAAGAAGAAGAAGAAGAAAGAAGAAGAAGAAGAAGGACAGACGCCCGGAACAGGAGAAGAAGAAGAAGAAGAAGAAGAAGAACAAGAACAAGAACAAGAACAAGAACAAGAACAAGAACAAGAACAAGAACAAGAACAAGAACAAGAACAAGAAGAACAAGAAGAAGAAGGAGGAGGAGAAGGAGAACATTGATCCCCTGATTCCCATACTCATCTCGACCCAGCATCTAACCAGCAACGCTGGCTCACCGGACGAGGCCCCCACACACAGGGCCCCCCAGCAGGGCAGGACCCACGTGTCCAGAGGGACGTGTGAGCTCTGGTGGCCCGACTCCGGACACACCTGTCCTGCAGGAGGGTCACGCGGGCATTCTGATCGCACGGTTAAGCTAATGACGCATGGGGCGGGGACGATGAGCTCCCGTCTCTCACTGTTGGAGAAAGAAAGTGCACGTAAGGGTGGGAGGTCGTGGGGAGTGAATTCGGACTGGGGGTGTCATCGGTGTGAGGGTCCTGGGGCGGCTGAGACCAAGGAGCTCACACTGGGAGCTTCAAAGAACAAAAATTTGAGCTGCCTTCGTGCTGGAGACCAGACATCTGAGACGGGGTGTCCCAGGGCCGCGCTCCCCCCGAGGCTCCAAGAGGGTTTTTCCGGCCTCTTCCGGCTCCTGGGCTCCAGGCGTCCCTGGGCGGGGGCCCGTCCCTCCCGTCTCTCCTCCGTCCCCACGGGGCTTCTCCTCTGTGTCTGCGTCTCCTCTTCTGTCTCTTCCAAGGACCTGTCATTGGACGGAGGCCCCCCTGACCCAGGACGGCCTCAGCATGACCCTTAATTTAATCCCCTTTGCCGTGTAAGATCATTGATGGGCTCTGGGTTTAGGACTTGGACATGTTTGGGGACCATTCCTGAGCTGACCAGCGTCCTCGTCACGTCCTCTGTGGTGACAATGAGAAGCTGAGGACAGTGGGGAGGGGGAGGGGCAGGGACAAGCCTGCGACTCCGAAAGGCACCCTGAAGGCTCTTATACTCTTTGTGGGGTTCTTGCTGCCTGTTCTGGCTGAACTGTGTCCCCCGCCCATTCCCCATGTTAATGCCTTCACCCCCAGGACCTCAGATGGGGCTGCATTTGGAGACGGGTCTGTGCAGAGGGGATTTAGGTAAAATGAGGTCACTGGGTGGTCCTGCTCCCCAGGACTGGGGTCCTCATAAGAAGAGGAGGTGAGGACACAGATCACACAGGGGCGACCCCGTGAGGACACGGCGCAGACGGCCGTCCACACGCCCAGGAGAGAGGCCTCCGGAGCCACCAGCCTGCCCTGCTGGGTCTCGGACTCCAGACGGGGAGAAATACGGGTCTGTGTTCTAGGCCAAAGCCTGAGGTCCTGGTCTGGGCAGCGGGTCAGACTTATGCAGAAGCTGGTCTCCCTCTAGGTGGTGTGGGCACAGCTCAGGTGCACCAGCCCGGGGTGGCACAGTAGTGACCCCTCTCCGCCCCGGTGTCAGGACCGAGTGAGGGACGCCCGCGTCCAGGGAAGGGCTGCTCTCGGCTTAAATCTTCACCCCGAGGACCGACATCAGGTTTGCTTGGTGATTCAGGGATAAACCTTCAGCCCTGGCCGGTGTGGCTCAGCGGTTAGAGCGTCGGCCTGCGGTCCAGAGAGACCCGGGTTCGGTTCCCGCTAAGGGCACGGACCTCGGTTGCCGTGTGTCCCCGGCCCTGGTTGGGTCGTGCGGGTGGCAGCCACGCGATGTGTCCCTTTCACGTCGATGTTTCTCTCTCTCCCTCCCACTCTATCTGAAGACAAATGCAAAAATGTCCTCGGGTGAGGATAAAAATACAAAAAGTAAAGAATAACGTTTGAGGGGCAGACCCACGAGCGTGTAAGCCAGGTGTGTGCATGACGCGGCCATTGTCCACGACTCCCCTCACGTGGGCTCCACGGGAAGGACCAGGCAGCCAGAAAGCCGAAACCCTGAAGAACCAGCACTTTATCCTGAGAACTGGACAGACGGGCTCGTCCAGCCCTACTCGGTGACCCTCTTCCCGCCTCCGCAGCGGCTCGGCCAGTGGTCAGCCACAGGCGTCGCACTGGGCGCTGAGCTGTTTCAATCCCTCCGGGTCTTCTCCCTGCCGGGCTCCCCAAGGGGTTTGGGGGCGATGGAGAGGGTTTTGTTTCCTCGCATCGCATGTCCCCGCCAACACACGCACCGTCCGTGTGTCTGATCGAGGTTTCTCCGCGTCCCCGGCGCACAGAAAGAAGACGAGGACCACGCGGGGTCCACCCGCCACGACCGGCACCATGTCGGGACCGCTGAGCCCGCAGGGGCCCGAGGTGGGGTGAACCTCCTCCGCTGTCCGCAGGGACATCAGCTCCCGGCCTCAGCTCACCGGGGACCACGGCACTGGGTGGCGTCCCCGGGTGCCCGGGGGGTTCCCTTCCGGAAGTCGAGCGGGGCGGCCGGGGACTGAGCCTCCAAACGGCTCGCTGGGCCGTGCCCCCAGGAACTGAGCATCTGAGGAGTTGCTCAGAAGACGTGGGACCTGCGGCCCAGGGGGAAGGAGGTGATGTCTGAATGTCTTTCCTGACAATTCACCTGAAAACTTCAGCCAGAGGGACTTGGAAGCTCAGGACAAAGAACTGCTCCGACCGAGGGGCTCCCACTGATGAGGAATCCGCCTCCAAACCCTACGAGGCTGATGCCCGTGGCCAGAAGCTGAGTGGACAGCAGGCCGGTTGTGCGATCAGCGGCCCCCAGATTTGGCGTCCTCGGTCAGGGGTGTCCCCTTCATGGGGGTGGCCGCGGACTCCCCTGAGAATTCCCCTCGGTTTTGCGTTGGGGCTGCACCGCCTCATAGCGTCACGTACGAGTTCTCACTCATCACAAATGTGACGCCCCCGAGAGACAGCAGTTCCCCCTGGGGGGGCTGGTCCGGGAGCGGGCCGGGCCCCCCGACGGCCTCTCTCTGCACCTCCGGCAGGTGTGATGGGCCCGGCGTCGCCGTCCGGGCCGTGTTCTCCTCGGCCTTGGGCAGCAGGACCAGCAGGGCCTCCTCCACGCTGCCATCCTGCTCCCCGTCTTCTGTCCTGGTCGCCTGGCTCACGCCCTGAGTAACCCCGATCCATTCCTGGGGGCACAAAACATCATGATGCAAATACAAGCAAGCAGAGCGGAGGAGGCTGCTTGGGGGTTGGCGCAAGGGTCCCCTGGCCGAGCACCCCACAGACGCTCAAGCAGCCAGCGTGCTCTGGCCCCAGAAGAGGGGACCCCGCGCTGTGGGCACGCCAGCCCAGCGGGCCCCAGAACCTTGCACTGGGCATCATCACAAAGCCGTTTCTCGAAGGCCGATCCCCAAAGCAGCTCTGAAATCCGCTGCACTGGGCACAAGGGCTCCCTGTGTCCTCGGCTGGGCCGGAGGGTTATGTTCAGCCAGAAGCGATTTAAAAATAGCAAACACAGCAGGAACTGTCTGCTCTTTCTGCCATGAATCTCCCCTTTGTCCAGAAAATTCCCATCGGGGAAGGTGCTGTCCGGTCCCTTCCAAGTCCAGGCCCACCCTGGGAGGACCTCATGTGCCTAAGCAGTAACCCTTTTCTCCTGCGACCTGGTCTTTTCCATGTGTCATTTGTGCATTTAATTGACAGGCCCCGGGCACAGCACCTAACAGGGTGGAGAACGGTTATATTTTCCCCCCTCTTGTTTCTTTTGCCCACCAAGTGATTTTAAAATTCACCGAGCTCCTGTAGGCAGCGAAAGGAAATAAATATAGGCCCAGGTTCCGGCCCCCAGAATGTGTGAGTATGACATTATTAGGAAACAGGGTGTCTGCAGACGGGGTTCGTGAAGGACCTGAGCGGAGGCCGTCCTGGGTCAGGGGGGCCTCCGTCCCATGACAGGTCCTTGGAAGAGACAGAAGAGGAGACGCAGACGCAGAGGAGAAGCCCCGTGGGGACAGAGGAGAGACGGGAGGGACGGGCTTGTGTTCGGCCTGCAGAGAGGACGCGCCAGGAACACAACTTCCTGACGAGATCAGAGGCAGCGACACGGGGTGCTGATCTCTGGGGCTGATTGGAAGAGAAACTGCTTCTAGAGGACCTTGGGGCCTGTCTGTCTCCTCTCGGACCGAAATAAACAGAATCACAAGGTGCTGCTTTGAGCAGAGACTCACAGGCGCACCCGAGGTGGCAGAAAGGCACTGAAGGTTTCCAATGTGCACAGAGAGATACCCGAGCGAGATACCCGAGCATGCCGCAGCCCACCAGGTAGCACGTCCAAGGAGGTGGCTCTTACCTGGAAGTTTCCCTGGTGGGTCTCAAAGAGCCCAGGGAAGGTGACTTTGGGATCAGGCACCCTGGGCAGAAGCAGCTTCTTGACTCTGAAAGGGACGCAGAGAGTCTGGTCAAAGCGGTGACTCCCCGGAGCCGAGCGGGGGACTGCCCCGCAGGTGCTGAGGGAGGCTGCAGATCTCCACCTCACAGACTGTGGGGGACGGAACTCTCGTTCTCAAGGTCTGAGCCCCCCTCAAAATCACAGGCACCCCACCACCAGCACGCAGGCGGAAGTCACACCAGGAATGCGGCGCGAGGAGCACGGAGCAGATTTCTGGACAGTAATGATTCTTCGTTATTTTCATGCCACTGGTGTTTTGAACAGGACTTTGCCCCCCTCCCCAATTTGTAAGTTGAAGCCCCAATCTACAGTGTGCTATATTTTGTGCCTCTTGAGCACTTCAAGAAGTAATTAAGGGTGAACGAGGTCATAAAGGTGGAGTCTGACGGCAATCAGGACATAGCGCCCCAAATATTGATTATTGGAATATTGATTGTTTTCAGTCAAAGGCAGATGAGATGATCCCTCTGCCCTCTCCCACCTGCCTAAAAGCAAGGTATCAATACACCCCTTTTGCAAAGGAAGTTCTCATTTATAAAGGCTCCAGGAAAGGAAGGATGAGACTTATCACCGGAGGTGATGAGATAATTCTGCCCGGAAAACCTTTATCTAGTGTGCGTTTCCTTCATGCATTTTTCTGGTCGCTTAACCACTCTGTGTTAAAATACTAGGTAACCCCCACACCCTGGACTCACGGCCTTTGGAGTTTTCATTTATTTTCCGTGATGCCCCATGCATGTGTAAATGGGACATTTGTTAAGGAATACATGCCTTTTCTCCAACTCGTCTGTGTTTGGTCAGTTTAATTCACAGGCCCTCGGGTACCGAACGGAAGAGGTTGTAATTTAACAGGATGCTAATTGAATATGGCCGGTGTCCTTATGACAAGAGAGAGGGATACCAGGTATGCATGTGCACGTGGAGGGAAGACCACGTGAGAACACAGGAAGAAGACACCTGACTACACACCACGGAGACGGGACTCAGGTGAAACCCGCCTGCACTTTGATCTTGAAGTTCAGCCTCCAGAACTGGGAGAAATGAATGTCTCTTGTTTGAAGCCCCAAAGTAATATAGCTGATTTCACCCGCATTGTAAATGGACACTTCCTTTGAAGACAGGGCCAATGTTAGATGTTTCCAAGAGGGTGACCCCTTGGTTTCCCATGGGGCTCATTTCAATTCTGTGTTAAAATCACCGGACACGTCAGCAATCAATACCCTTATCTGATAGCATCTCCCCGTCTGGTCAGCATAGGGGGGAGCATCCATGTGAGCCAGAGATGGGTGGACGGAGACAGGAGGCCTGTCAGTCTTGGCTGGTTCCTCCCACCGTTGCAATGGAAACCTCATCCTCAGAAACAAAGATGGAGCCCGGAACCTTGGGCATCGGCACCTTCAGGTGTCATAACCGCCGAACACCTGGGCCCAGGTAAGTTAAAATTAACTACCTATCCAGTGTCTGGCGAGACGGGCAAGAGTCGTCCTTACCTGTGTAGTTTCCATAGACAGAGCAGGAGCAGGAACATGATGAGGAAGGTGACCATGCCGTACACTAAAATGTGTTTGGAGAAGAGCGTTTTCTCCTGGCATGAGTCTAAGCAAAACAGAATGAATGCTGTTAGTTTGTAGCATGATACATCATCAAGCTACACCCCGTCTCATGTTTTGTTCTTGTATAGACGTCAGTGTATAGTATCAGCAAACCTTGATTTCAGTTGAAAGTATCTTGGGAAGAGAGAAGGTGTCTCTGGACAGACACAGAGGAGGCAGGTAGTATAGGCCCAACATGCGGCCCTTGGGTACCGGCATTACCTGGGTGGTTTCAGGATATCAACAGTTGCTTTTGGCTATCACCTATCAGTCACTCATTCATCCATCCATCATCCACCTCTCCATCCAGCCAGTATCTATCTACCCATCCATTCATCTATCCACTATTCACCCATCCATCATCCATCCATCCATCCATCATCTATCCATCCATCCTTCCATCCATCCATCATCCATCCATCTATGCATCCATCCATCCATCCATCATCCATCCATCTATGCATCCATCATCCATCCATCCATCCATCATCTATCCATCCATCCTTCCATCCATCCATCATCCATCCATCTATGCATCCATCCATCCATCCATCATCCATCCATCTATGCATCCATCATCCATCTATCCATCCATCATCTATCCATCCATCCTTCCATCCATCCATCATCCATCCATCCATCCATCTATCCATCATCCATCCATCCATCCATCCATCATCCATCCATCCATCCATCCATCTATGCATCCATCCATTCATTCATCCATCCATCCATCCATCCATCCATCCATCCATCTATGCATCCATCCATTCATCCATCCATCCATCCATCTATCCATCATCCATCAGCCATCCATCCATCCATCCATCCATCTATCCATCTATGCATCCATCCATCCATCCATCCATCCATCATCCACCTATCCATCCAGCCAATATCTATCCATCCATCTATTAATCCATCTATCATCCATGTACCTGTCCATTTATCATCTGTTTCTCTCTAGCTGATTATCCATTTATACATCTATCCATCATGTATCTCCCCACTTATTAATCATCTATTATCAATCTATACATTTATCATATATCTATCATCTACTTATCTATCCATTCATCATCTATTTCTAACATCTATGTATCTATACATCTATCTACACATCTATACCTATATCAATGCCACAACGTTCATAAAAGTGACGTTTCATGACCGTTTCTGAGTTAATAGAAGTAAAATATAAACATTAGCCCCAAGAAAAAGCCTGGGAGGAACAACAAGCAGAGGAATTGTTTTCAAATTGCTCTCCGCACAAGGAACGAGGTCATACGTGCTTCCCCGTGACCCCTGCCCTCCCGCCCGCCAAGCCGGGGTTGCTGACCCTCGACGGTGCCGTGTGGCTGCGTCACGAGCCTTCATTACCTTGCAGCTCACCCCCCTGCCAGTAGGTCACCTCCGACCAGTCGCTGGGGTAGGTCTCCGGGCCGTAGATGGAATCATCTGCGATCACTCTGGCCCGCAACAGGTAGCATTTGTCAACATCCAAGCCCTCGATGGTCACATTGCATCTGTCCTCTTCCTCCTTGGACTGTGGGGCGGGGAGCAAACAGGAACCGTGCTGACCTGACCCAGGCGTTTTATCCTCGACCCAGGACCCCAGTCCCCTTCTTTCGGGCATTTGGACAGCTTGTGGGGGTTTCTCTTTCTGCCCAGACCTTTATCCTCGAAACAACAGCAACAGACAAAAGGGTCGACACCTCTACGGTCCCCTCCAAACAAACAAAGAAAAAAAATCCTTTACAACAAATACCCTTTCTGATGCGTGTGAGGAGAGAAGTAGTGATAACATGTTCTTCCTTTTTTAAAAGAGGAGATTTTTTTTTTTTTAATGAAAATAAAAATGACAGATGCTTACTTCGGGATCTTAGAACGTTTGCGCACACCAAGGCAAAATAAGAAATCTAAGAAGCTTCTTTATTCTACTTCCAAAATAGAGCCACTGGGAACACAATGAGTGTTGTTTTTTTCCCTCCCAAAGCTCTCAAAAACTCAACGTTTTGCTGTACGCGTTGCTTCTTATCACTAAACGTACTATTAAAGCATTCCTTGATGGCTCTTTAATCTTTTATTATATAAACGTGCTGTCATTTGTCCACTTTTGATCGGTGGTGTGACACCCAGGGGGTTCAAACCCTTTGTATTTATTTTAGATAATTCTCCAGGAGAAGGCTTTGTGCTCAAAACCGCAACCACATTTTGCTTTTGTTTTTTAATATTTTTTCTTTATTGATTAGAGAGAGGAAGGGAGAGGGAGAGAGAGATAGAAACATGGATGAGAGAGAACATCGACTGGCCGCCTCCTGCACGCCCCCCACTGGGGATCGGGTGCCCTGACTGGGAATCGAACTGGCGACCTCTTGGTGCAGGGTCGACGCTCAACCACTGAGCCACACCGGCCGGGCAACATGCCACTTAGGCATAACCTATACCTGCTGTGGCTTTAATTTCCATTTCTTTGATGAGCAGTGGTTTGATTCTACTGGATAGTCCGGCCACATTTTGTCCGTTTTTCTCTTTTTTTGATTAGATTTCTTCCTGCTTCTGTTAGGTATAACTAACTGTCTCTCGGTGGTACTTCATCCTCACGTTTACCCTTATTCCTGTGTCTTATTGCACCATTACCAAATTCTAGGGTTTGTCACACAGGGTGTGCCCACCTGCACATTTTCCCTGGCCCTTCCACCCTACCCCAAAGTTTCGCCAAAAGGCCCATCTATTTTCTCTTCACGCTCCCTGGGTCCATTGCTAAGTTTCCAACTCAAGTCGTAGTGCAAAGCAGTCCGCCCTATACATTCCCGTGGCTGGAACATATATATTTGCCCCAAGTCATGTCATTCCTTCCAAGGACAACCCTGGGGTGTTGTGTTAGAAAAACACAATTGTTTGTGGGTCAGGGGGTACATTCAGGCAAAACCGTAAGAGAGAAGGTGAAAATGTCTTCTTCTGGCTACATTGTTAGCTCACTTTTTTAAAGTTGACATCCTCACCCAAGGACATTTTTTCCATTTATTTTCAGACAGAGTGGGAGGGAGGGAGAGAGAGACATTGACTGTTGCCTCCCACATGACCATGACCAGGGTCAGGGACTGAACCACCACCGAGGTGCGTGCCCTTGACCGGAATCAAACCTGCGACTCTTTGGTCAGCGGGCTGATGCTCTAACCACTGAGCCAAACCAGCCAGGGCACTAGCCCACTTTTAAATGCTCATTTTACTGCTGAGCCCCACTGTTTCCTGACCTTAGAGTGTCTGCAAATGGAACCCAACCAATTTTATTTCCAGCAGACATAAAATGCACAAATAAACAGCACTTGATGAGGGCACTGAGAAACCACAGACCAAAGGTGTACTTTCTCCCTGGTACCCTTGAGAATTGTCTTTGAATAACCACACACACTTCAGAATTGTCTTTGAATGAATACACACACACACACACACACACACCTGAAGAACAGCTGAGCCACTGGCTTAACATTGGGTCATTTTTCTGGGTTAAATTGCCCCACCCTCAGAAAAGATACATTCAAGTCCTAATCCCTCCACTACCAATGAATGTGACCTTTATGGAGAAAGAGCCTTTGCACGTATAATCAGATTACGATGAGGTCATTAGGGGAGAATCAGTAATCTGATCACAGGTGTCCTTCTAGAAAGAAACAAGAAGAAGAAGAAGGAAGAGGAGGAGGAGGAGGAGGAGGAGGAGGAGGAGGAGGAAATAAATAAATAGATAGCTATAAAAGTAAAATTTAAAAGATGATTAAAGAAGAGAGATGACGCAGTAGAAACAGAGGAGACGCCCTGTGAAGACAGGGTCAGAGCATAGATTCTGGGAACGTAACCTCAAGCCGAGGGCCACCAGGGCCACCAGAAGGTAGGAGAGCAACTGGGAACACATTCCACCCTGGTGGCAAAAGGAACCAGGTCTGCTGACTCCTTGATTTCGGACTTGTGGTCTCCAGAAGTGTCCGAGAGTAGATATCTATGGTTATGAGCCATTTCGTTTGTAGTGCTTGGTACGAACAACTCGGGAAACTCACACACGTGCACAGCAGCGAAGGGACAGGAGACGCATTGGTTCATTCCAAGAGAGATGATGAAGCCCTTATCTTGGTTCGGTGGTTTGACCAACGCCTGCTCTGAGCTTGGAACCCAACACCTGACCCTTGTGTTTTGCTTGGACTCAACTTGTATACGTGAAGTCATGATCCTACGGACAGTCTGCCTGGGAAACAACTTGGAAAATGTCAGGGTGCTGTTCCCCAGGCTCCTTCTACATACAAGTGACCAGTGATGTTTGGGGGAACAACAGGAGGCCCGAATGGTGGGAACAGAACCTCCGAAGCCAGTAGATGCGTACAGAGGTGGTGTCTGGATGAGCTCCATCCTGCCTCTTGGATCTGACTGGTCTAGGAGACTCTCCCACCGGACTGAGAGGTCGTGAGGACTTTGCGGGACAACAGGTAGAGAAGAAGGTGACCTCAGGAAGTGGGCAGGTGTCTTTTCTCCTGATCCACCACAGACTAGTTTTCCAAAGCCTCGGCCCTCACTCTCCACTGCGTTCTGTCATGCTGAACCATCCTGACAGCCCCCTGGAAAACGGGGTCCTGTCTCTGCCCGGCCACCCTCCCCTGTTCCCAGATTCCATCCCGTCCTCGCCCACCCCGGAGGTGTCTGTTCATGACCCATCGCCGTCTACGGCGTACAAGGTGCAGGTCAGCAGGACTCTTGTCCGCGTGGTGATGGGTCTCCTTGCTCTCTGTACAGATGTTCCCGGTCTAGACATCAGCAAATGTCGTCTCCGCCCAGGAGGAAGGGGGCACACGTGCGTGGTACTAACTTGCTCTGAACTGGTATTCTTACCTTATCAATGCCCGAAACGCAGGACACCCTCCGCTAACACCTCTAGAGTGAAGGTTGGAGGTCGCTCCTTGTGCCAGCTGCCAGGCTCAGCACATGTCCAATGTCCTGGGCGAGAAGCTCTGTGGGACTCACCCTGTCTTCTCGACCCTTCTCTGTGTTGGGCCACGAGACACGGTGCTTCTGGTCGACCTCGTGGTCCAAGTGCCCAATGGTTCATGGACAGAGGTTCTTCCAGTCCTGGGACAGGGAACCTAACGACTCTTCCACTGCTCAATCCTCACCTTGAGGAGAGCTCCTCCAGGCTTTCCTTTGGTTCCCTCCAGGAACGGGCAGCTCTCTACCTGCGGTTTGCCATGTTCCTGTCCTCTCATAAGGAACTTAAGCTCTTATTTCCATGGTATCTCTCTCATTATTGGAAGACAACGGGGAGCCCCCCCCGGACCATGGATTTCCACACATTTGTGATTGATTCCATCCATTCGGCTCACAGGCTCAGAACGAGAATGTCTTTAAAGGCAGGCCCAGAGGTGTGCGTGATACAGGGTGTGATGAACCAAGGAGAGGGTTGGATACTAGTCAATTTCATGTCAACTGGGCCACACCTGGAGGCCAGTCATTTGGTCAAAGGCCAAGCCACTGGGGAGGTATTTCGTAGATGTAATTCACACTTCCAGTCCTTTGAGTTTACGTGACTCCGTTATGTGGGTGAGCCTCGCCCAATCAGTTGAAGGTGTAAGATCGGAGCCTGACAGAGAAAAGGGAATTTGACCTAAAGACCATGGCGTAGATGTTTGCCTGAGTTTCTAGCGTGTTGGATTATAATCACAAGAGCAATTCCCTTAAATAAATGTCAATATTGCTGCCTCTCTCTCTCTCTCTCTCCCTTACACCCCTCTCTCTGTCTCCATGTGTCCTCAGACTTAGCCTCCTGGACATGTTTTATCCCACAGGCCCTGAGAAGAAGCCACCCCACTCACTTGCCACTCTCGGTCAAAGGTACTCTTGTGCTGAACTTCATACAAGACGTTCGTGTAGGACAGAGTGGTGCACGTCACCGTGATGGCTTCCTGGTGCCACCGGAACCTCAGATCTCTCGGCGAGCTGGGTTTCACTAAGAAGGAGACACAACACCCCGACTGTCACCACCCCGGCCAAGACGGACATTCCGCATCCGCACCACCGCAGCCGTACGTTGGCTTCGAATCACCTTCCTCTTCCTTCTCCCTGAAACTGCAGGAGAAGCCCCGTGGGTGTGTTCAGGGATGAATCATGTCACCATTAGCTGCCCCGCAGAGAGACATCGAAGTCCTAACCCTGAGGACCCTCACAGATGTCACTATTTAAGATGAGGTTGTCGTGGACTAGGTTGGGTACGAACCCAACAGGACTGACGTTCATGCAAGAAGGGGAAAGACACAGCCCTGGCCGGTGTGGCTCAGCGGTTAGAGCGTCGGCCTGCGGTCCAGAGAGACCCGGGTTCGGTTCCCGCTAAGGGCGTGTACCTTGGTTGCGGTTTGTCCCCGGCCCTGGTGGGTCGTGCGGGTGGCAGCCACTCGATGTGTCCCTTCACGTCGATGTTTCTCTCTCTCTCTCTTTCTCTCTCTACCTCTTGCTCGATCTGAACAAAAAAATTTAAAAAATCCTCGGGTGAGGATAAAAAGGACAGACACAAATATGAAAGCCATGGGAAGATACAGGCAGAGACGGGGTGGGCGACACATCTACAAGCCGAGAAACGCCGGGGGATTCCCAACACCGCCAGAAGCTCACACTGAGGCAGGGACCCGTCTTCACTCCAAGCCTCCAGGGACAACCCGCCCAGACGACACTTCCCTCCTGGCCTCCTGGCCGCTGACCAGAGGAATAAATGTTTCGTCTCAGCCCCCCAGGTCCCTGCGATTTGTCACGACCGCTTAGGAAGCTCCCGCAGAGTCTGCGAGTGGTTTTGTCAGGAGGGCGTCCCCGGGTCTCATCAGACTCTGAGATCGACCTTTGACATCCACCCCTACAAAAACGCACCGTCTCACAGAAACGCAGAACAAAGAACGTGCGTCTGGGAGCCGGGGTTTCTACGTTTCTCTACGAGTCCCCCCGGTCTGCACTGAAGGTTCACGCATCCCTGATCCATGTGCCTGCGGGGACACTGTCTACACGGCCGGGGCCCTCTGGGCTGGGGTAGGAACAGGACGCAGCTCCAGGGGACAATGGGCAGCGGTGTCTGTTCGGGGCACTTACAGTAATCGCTGATCCACAGACTCCTGGAGAGAAGACTTTGGGTTCCGTTCCAGATGGAGAAGTCCAGAACCCTGTCTCCTTTGGCCGGCAGGAGGCACCCGACGCTGCGGCCTCGCTGCAGAATGTAGTCGGGACAGCGGCTGTCATTGTCACCGCGGAAGCTGCGGATCGAGAAGTTCGCCGTTGAGCCGCGGACTGGCCTTGGGAAATAACATCGTGACATGTGTCCTGTCCATCTGGGGGGGGCTCGGCTTCTCTGCCACCAAGACAGATTAGGTACCTTCTTCACCTGTTTCGGCGGTGCACCCCGACCCCAACCGCTAGACCTCGCCAAGCAGAATCCCTCACGCGCGTGTTCAAGCCCTTGAGTAGCTTCTGCGCTGGGCTGGATACTAACAATACAAAGGTCTGTCTACGGACAGGTCTCAGGGAGCCGGGAATGGGACTTGATGTGGGAAAAGGGTCTTGCAGAGGCTTTTAACTAAAGGACCTGAGCGGAGGCCGTCCTGGGTCAGGGGGGCCTCCGTCCAGTGACAGGTCCTTGGAAGAGACAGAAGAGGAGACGCAGACACAGAGGAGAAGCCCCGTGGGGACAGAGGAGAGACGGGAGGGACGGGCCCCCCGCCCAGGGACGCCTGGAGCCCAGGAGCCGGAAGAGGCCGGAGGGACCCTCCTGGAGCCTCGGGGGAGCGCGGCCCTGGACACCCCGTCTCAGACGCCTGGTCTGCAGCACCAACATAGCGTGAATGCCTGTGGTTTGAAGAAGCCCGGGTGGCAATCCTTTGTGGTCTACCCCAGGAACGAACGCAGGTACAATTCGACCTGCAGGGTTACCAGTTCTCATTCGAGAGGCACTTTTACGGGGATGTACCCAGATGGGGTGTCCCTCCGAGCCGCCCTGCAATTTTAGAGGAAGCCTGAGACCTGTTTGTGCATCCTCCTAAGACCTCAAGCCCAAGGAGTGAGTGTCTGCCTCAGGACGTACCCCTGTCATAAATGAGAAAAAAAAAAAAGAAGAGCCAAACCCAACAAAAACAGATGCCGAGAGAACTCAAGTGACTCATCTCTGCGACCACATGAAAAATCCAGCCTGTACGCGTCTTCCTGTGCGTCTCATTTTCCATATCGATTCATCTTCAAGTCTCTCTCATGTGTACCCTTTCCCATTAATCTCACGGGTTATCAAACTGCCGAAAAGTAACCATCCCTCGGGGAGCACTGTTCACAGAACGGAGGCTAAATGCGCTGAAAAAAAGTCTCTTCCTCCCACACGCACCCTTGTGTCTTTGTGTCTGCAAGGCAAGCTGATTAACGCTATAATAGACAGACATCCTTTGGGAACGGGGGGCCCCGGTACCCTGGCGTGGAAGGTTTTGGAAAATTAACCTTTGCTACGATTGCGTAGCAGGTAAGGTTTGAAGGCAGCAAAGACTGTAGAGAAAGTAGCGGCTGAGACCTTGAAGGTCACCCTGGCTGACCAAGGACACTGTGCACGTCCACGCGAGAATCGATGTCGTTCTGAGCAGGACTCGGTCATCACCGGGGTAGGTTTGGGTGACCGTGGTGGTGGCTGCGGTGAGGATTTCTCGTTCGTACGCACACGTTCTGTGTTTTTCTCCCGGGCCCTCCCTAGTCCTGACGTCTCGGACGAAGAGATGTTTCGTCCCCGCGCGTGATTTCTCCTTCCCAAGGGCGCTTACCGGTAGAGCAGGGTCAGATTCGTGCCCGAGTCTTGGCTGGCATTCCAGGTCACCTGCACAGTTTCGAAATTAAAGTTGATGATCCGGTGTTGCAAGGGCGCTCCTGGGTGAAAAAGAGAAACGCAACAGGGGTTGAGGGGACGCGGGACAGGCCTTGAGACCTGTCGAGTGATGGGAGCGCCCCCGGGGTCAGCAGGACGCGGGGTTTTCGAGAGGAGACGGTGAAACTGAGATGGTCAGAAACGGGCCCGTCGTGACTTGTGTCAGTACAGGCGGCAGGTGACGCCGAGGTGGGCGAGGACAGTTTCTGCGACTCATGCAGGGCCAGCGTGACAGGGATGGGCAGGGGCTGAGCTGCACCTGTGTGTCCCATGACACCGTCATGTGTGAGCACAGACACCGGCGTTGCACAGTGTCCCCTGTCCACCCCACTCCCTGTCCGACTCAGACCACCACCCCGGACCACCGGAGGAGGAGCTCCAGGCCAAGGGCGTCCGTCAGTCCTTCCGATGTTCCTTAAGGCTTCAGTGGGTTTGATGTTTGCAAAGGCCTGGCTGGCTCACTCCGAATGCAGTTCATGGGCCTGTTTTAAGCTCGAGCACATAGGCAGTGATGTTGTGGATAATGACAGGTGGGTTTGCACCTACCAGAGAATGAACTTATTACGATAGAAATGTCGGAAGATAGAATCAATCATTTGATATTGGTTTACAAGTAGAAACATAGATAGATGATAGATAGATAGATAGATAGATAGATAGATAGATAGATAGATAGATAGATAGATAGATAGATAATAGACAGACAAATAGGTAGACAGATAGATGATAGATAGATAGATAGATAATAGATAGACAAATAGGTAGACAGACAGATACATAGATGATACATAGATAGATAGATAGATAGATAGATAGATAAATAGATAATAGATAGACAAATAGATAGAAAGACAGATAGATGATAGATAGATAGACAAATAGATAGATAGACAAATAGGTAGACAGATAGATGATAGATAGATAGATAGATAGATAGATAATAGACAAATAGAAAGACAGATAGATGATAGATAGATAGACAAATAGGTAGACAGACAGATAGATAGATGATACATAGATAGATAGATGATAGATAGATAGATAGATAGATAGACAAATAGGTAGACAGATAGATGATAGATAGATAGATAGATAGATAGATAGATAATAGACAGACAAATAGAAAGACAGATAGATGATTGATAGATAGATAGATAGATAGATAGATAATAGATAGACAAATAGAAAGACAGATAGATGATAGATAGATGATAGATAGATAGATAGATAGATAGACAAATAGATAGATAGATAGACAAATAGGTAGACAGACAGATAGATAGATGATACATAGATAGATAGATGATAGATAGATTGATAGATAGATAGATAATAGACAGATAGAAAGACAGATAGATAGATGATAGATAGATAGATAGATACACAGATAGATACATAGATACATAGAGGATTAATGGATAGATGATGATGAAGATAAATGACAATAGATGAAAGAAAGAAAGAGACAAAGAAACAAAGTAACAAAGAAAGAAAGAAACAAGAAAGAAAGAAACAAAGAAACAAAGGTGGGGGTGGCTGGGTGAGTGGGTGGATAAATGGACCAGAGTTTTCCACATTTCCCCGCGGTCCGGCCGTTGTCCATTGCTGTCATCAGTCTGTCTAGTCCCTGCCTTTTACCAGGGTGAGTGCCATCCCTCAGGACCCCAAGGAGTCCTGTTTGTGCGACTCTTACCTGGTTTCCTGACTCTAGTCTTTGACTGAGATTCCTGAGTCGCCCACCAGCCCAGGCCTGCGCTGAGCCGGTACAAACAGGCTCACCAAATACATGCTGAATTGGGAGGGACAGGGAAAAAAATTGAACTTCGCCTAAGGTCCTGGGCTAGGACTGTGGGTCGACCCCAGCGTCTGAAAATCAAGGTTACAACGAGGGACGTGAGCACGTTTTGACTGCTGAAGGAATTTCCACCCGGCGTCCACGTGGACGGGTCATTTCCGTTCTCAGCTGGGAATCATCCCTGATGGGATCAGCCCAGAGGCCGACGGTCTTGACTTCGACCCACAGCTTCCTGAAATGGAGAGATGTCTGGGCGGGCGTCCTGGCTTCTGGAAATCCCTGACCTTCAGAAGGAGAACTGGCGTTTCCGTCACAGGGGAAGGACGTCGACGCGTCAGGCTTCAGTGACCATTGCCCCCACCCTGGAGACGTCCTTCTATGGAAAATGACCAACGGACGAAGCCAAGCGGCCCCTTTTCCGGCAGGGAAGGGGGTGTGTTCCTGTAGCTTGGTGTTTCCCCCTCATGATGAGTGGGCTCCAGGGACAGGAAGCCAACCGCTCGGGAGGGTAGCGGAGGAAGGAGACAGAGGTCACTGGGTCCCTGTTCCTCTTTTTCTAGCTGCTCTGACTAACTTGCCCTTTCCTTGCAGGTCTAGGGTACAGATGGGATTCGGATCCTTCCCTCTGCGCTGCGTGCAGGAATTTTGAGGAGTAAAGGAAACTGTGGACGGCTTTACTCCAATTATATCCAACAACAAGTATCCCGAAACACCAACCAGAAAAAAACATACACACCCCTATGTTCATAGCAGCACTATTGACAAGAGCTAAGACCTGGAAACAGCCCAAGTGCCCATCCGTGGACAAGTGGATAAAAAAGCTGTGGTACATTGACGCCGTGGAGTACTACGCAGCCGTAAAAAAGGAAGATCTCTTATCCTTTCAGACAGCATAGAGGGACCTGGAGAGTGTTATGCTGAGCCAAATAAGCCAGAGAAAGACAAATCTCATGCGATCTCACTTATTTGTAGAACATCATGAACAAAATAAGCTGTCAGTCGAAATAGATCCAGAGACATAAAAGCAGGGAACGGACTGATGAATCTCCGAGGGAAGGGGGAGCTGGAAGAAATTAACGAAATGATTTTTACGCACGTACGCGTAACCCGTGGAACACAGATCATCGTGCGGTGAACGCAGAGGTGGGAGCGGGGAAGAGAGAGGTCACCAGAAGGGAAAAGGAGGAACATCTGTGATACTTTCAACAACAAAGATACCTTTAAAAAAACAAGCAAACCACAACCCCAAGAAATGAGGTCACAATGTCTCTCTGGAGTGGTTTCTCCTCCCCGTTGGACCTTCAAGCAGGTTTCAGATCAACAAGTCGATTGTGAGGGTTCAGGTCCCTTCACAGAAGAAGAAGGAACTTTTGTTGTTGTTGTTCATCCTCAGCAGAGTATATTTGTTTCCACTGATTTTTTTTTTTTTTTTTTATCCTCACCTGAGGACACTTTTCCATTTTTTGTTCAGGTAGAGCGGGAGGGGGAGAGAGGAACAGAGAGAGAGAAACATCGATGTGAAAGGGACACATCGAGTGGCTGCCACCCGCACGACCCACCAGGGCCGGGGACAAACTGCAACCGAGGTCCATGCCCTTAGCGGGAACCGAACCCGGGTCTCTCGGGACCGCAGGCCGACGCTCTAACCGCTGAGCCAAACCGGCCAGGGCTGTTTCCACTGATTTTTAAAGAGAGGGAAAGAAACATCGATGTGAGAGAGATACATCCATCTGTGGCCTCCTGCACGGCCCTGACTTGGGGCTGGGCATCAAAATGCAACCCAGGTAACTGCCCTTGACCGGAATTGAACCCAAGACCCTTCAGTCTGTGGGCTGACGCTCTAACCGGTGAGCGGAACTGGCCAGGGCAGAAGAGAAACTGTTCAACACCTGTTTTGTCATTGTGAGGGCAGATCGGAATTTAAAGTAGTGGGCCCTGGCCGTTTGGCTCAGCGGTTGGAGCGTCGGCCTGCGGACCAGAGAGTCCTGGGTTCGGTTCCTGCTAGGGGCTCGTACAAAAAAAAAAAAAAATTTACAGTAATGCCCTGGCCGGTTTGGCTCAGCGGTTAGAGCGTCGGCCTGCAAACCAGAGAGTCCTGGGTTCGGTTCCCGCTAGGGGCACGTACCAAAAAAAAAATTTACAGTAATCTCCTGGTCAGTTTGGCTCAGTGGTTAGAGTGTCGGCCTGCGGACCAGAGAGTCCCGGGTTCGGTTCCCGCTAAGGGCACGTACCTCGGTTGCAGTTTGTCCCCGGCCCTGGTTGGGTCGTATGGGTGGCAGCCACTCGATGTGTCCCTTTCACATCGATGTTTCTCTCCCTCTCTCCCTCCCACTCTCTCTGAACATAAATGCAAAAGTGTCCTCGGGTGAGGATGAACAGAAAAACAAAATTAAAGTAAGATGCCAAGCTCTCTTGATTAAGAATAACGGAACCGACTTAGGTCAGCCAGCATAATACCCTCCAGGCCCGTCCGAGTTCTCACAAATGGTGAGATTTCCTTCTTTTTTCTTGTTCTAAATCCTCTCCCGAGGATTTTTTTTTTTTTCATGTATCCTCAGATAGAGGGAGAGGGAGACAGAGAGGAACATCAATGAGAGAGACACGTCGACTAGTTGCCTTTTGCACGACCCCAACCGGGGCTGGAGACGGAACCTCAACTGAGGTGCGTGTCCTTGGTCGGATCCGAACCCGGGACTCTCTGGTCCGCGGGCCGACGCTCTAACCACTAAGCAACCGGCCAGGGCAGATTTCCTTCCTTTGTATGGCCGTGTACTATTCCATGTGTCTCTGCACCGCAGCTTTGGGTCCACTCGCCTGCCGATGGGCTCAGGTTGTTTTCACATCCTGCAGTTTGGCTCACGGTCATCAGCCTCGTGCAGCCGCACCCGGGGTGGCCATGGTCCAGCTGCACAGTCTCTGCTTCTCTCTCAGGGGACGTGCACCCTCCCCGTCCTGGGGAGCAGACGTCTGAGACGGGGTGTCCAGGGCCGCGCTCCCCCCGAGGCTCCAGGAGGGTCCTTCCGGCCTCTTCCGGCTCCTGGGCTGCAGGCGTCCCTGGGCGGGGGGCCCGTCCCTCCCGTCTCTCCTCCGTCCCCACGGGGCTTCTCCTCTGTGTCTGTGTCTCCTCTTCTGTCTCTTCCAAGGACCTGTCATTGGACGGAGGCCCCCCTGACCCAGGACGGCCTCCGCTCTGGTCCTTCACAAACCCCGTCTGCAGAGACCCCGTTCCCAGATGAGGTCCCCCTGGCAGGAACCAGGGCACAGGAACGGAACATGTTCTTTCGGCGAACACGGGGGAGCCCACAGCAGGAGCGTCCACATCACAAGGGCATTTGGACCACAATCGAAGGCCGTTTGCCCTGTGATCCATCATCCTCAGCGTGGGGGCACGGTGGATGGGGGCAGCGGAACTGGGGTATCCTGGGCCCCTTTGCTTGCTGGGGTGTAGATCTGCCCCAGACGCGCCTGCAAGGTGCA